CTCCCTCCCTCCCTCCCTCCCTCCCTCCCTCCCTCCCTCTCTCTCTCTCTCTCTCTCCTATCAAAGTGGGTATCCTGGGCGCTGCGCTGCAATGGAGAAACGGACAACGGAGGGAAGGAGGGAAGGAGCAGGGAGACGAAAGAGGGAAAGTGGCTTCCAGCGCCCAGATTCCCTCGCTTCTTTACCTACCTGATTTCCAGCTCCGTCGCATTTCTCGCCGTTGTGTGCAGGGAAAGAAAAGTTGATGGGGCTAAAAAAAGAAAAAAAATGTTCAATCAATCAATTCCAACTTTGCGAGATCTCCCCCCACCCCGCGAGTAGTTGGAATTGATTGATTGAACTTTATATTTTTTAGTCCCACAAACTTTCCTTTCCCATGCCCAGGGCGGCGAGAAACGCGACGGAGCTGGAAATCAAGTAGGCGAAGACGTGCTTGTGTGGGGAGCGAGGGCATCTGGGTGCCGGGCGCTGAATTGTGCCCGTTCCTAACCAGCAGCTGCCCAGACCCACCGGAGGGAAAGCCAGCACTTAAACGTGGCGGCCTTACAGGCCAGGAATTAGCTACCGGTTGTCCCAAACCGCTGCGATCCGGCTGAGCTGGACAAACGCTACCTTGAGTGGTGCTTTTCGTGAAAAGGTGAGAATCAGACAGCGCTGCACGGCCGTCCCGCCGCTTCCACGCTCCACGCCACTTCCAAGCTACAATAACAGCTCCCCACTTTATTTTACAGTGAAAACGCGCGAAGCGATTTCCTAGAAAAAAACTATTTCAGGGTTTTCTCCCGCTTTCCGCCACAGGTTCTCCGCCCGCCCGGCTCTTTAGTCCGACCCCCCCCCTCCCCACAAGCGCGGCCCTTTGAAACGGGAAAGAAGACGGGCGAGAGAACGAAGAGCTCCCGCCTTCAGCTGGGCGCTTTGGACTTGCCCGACCGTCAGCCGAGCGGGTTCCGACTATGGAGCCTCCCCGAACCCCACAGCCCGGAAGAAGGGAAAAGCCCCGCTGGTCTCGGTTCCCCATCGGGCTGGCTCCGCCGAAGGTCGCCTGCCGGTCTCGCAGTCAGCTGCCTCCTGAAGTTTCAAGGGGCGCCACGTAGCGAGTCCCCTCTCCCCCCCACGCCCGTCTCCCGGCGTTTGGTGTGGCTGCGCTGCTTCCTCCTTAGGCGCCATTTGGCCTCCTGACCGGTCGTCCAGGCTCCTCTTTCTCTTCGGCTCTTGAGGAGCTACAAAGGCCGGCAAGGAACATCTAAGTGAAGCCAACCCAGTGCCTGCATCTGCCCATCTGGAAATCCACCCCTCTCTTTACTCCCCCCCCCCACACAAGGACACTGATAGAGGGAGTAAAAGGCAGCTTAGCGAGGTTTTCCAAACATCCCCTTTTCAGGGAGTTCCTCACTTATGTTCCCACAACCGAATTAACTCTAGTTCTGGCTCCTCCCAAGCACATTCGCCCCTCATCGGATCCAAGCGGGCTGGAGGATTGCATTTCGGAGCCCAAAGCCGCGCCCTCTAAGCCAAAGAGACACTGAAAACGGCCTCTTTGTGAGTCGTGTGAACGGAGCCGCCGACTCTTTCCCTGGACGCGTGTTGCCGGAAAGCGGCTCAGTCCCGCGGGAGAGCTGGCAGGTAGGGCTCTTACCTGGGACTGGCGCGCCTGTGGAGCCGGCGGAGAGGGGAAGACTCTTTCGGCTGGGGAAGCCGTTCAAGCGGCTGGCCGCGTGCTGCCTTCGGCGGCGCTGTCCGTGGTGCCTCCGGCGGAGCTCCCCTGCCTTCTTCGGCCGCCGGGCTCCAGTCCTGCGCCTTCCTCTCCGCCAGCCCGCTACGGGCGACGAGGCAGAGCCGGGAAAGGCAGAGTCCGGGCGGAGAAGGGGCTCCTGTCGCTGGGAGAGGCCGGCGTCTGCCCGCCTCTCCTTGGCAGACCGGCTCTTCACCGCGGCAGAGCGCAGCGTCGGCGGTTCCGCAACTCCGCAAACTTCTTAGCTAGGCGGGCAGGGAAAGGGGGCTCGGCCGTTCCGGCTGAATGAAGGGCGCGCCGCCCGGGCATCGCTCTTTCTACCGGGCGACCCAGTTGGCGAAGGCGGGCAGGAGTCTCCCCGGGCGCCCCGAGCTCTCCAACCCTTTGGCTCTTGGAAGGGAGCCGGGAGAAGCGAAGCGGGCGAGTCGTTGCGTGGGCTCCTCAAAGCAAGCCCTCCCCCTCCCGACCCTGCAATTTACTCCGCGGTCAGGGAGGCTCCGGGCGGCCGCTTGAAGTGCGCCGCGTCTTTGGCGGTGCGAGAGAAGGAGACTGCAGAGCGGCCCATCTCCAACCTGGCGCCCTCCGAAGGTATGGCTGGACTACAACTCTCGCCAGCGCCATTCGGAGGTTATAGGTGAAGTCGCTTGAAGGGGAGGAAACCAACGGAGGAGAGGCTGGAGGTGTCCAAGGTCTCGGTTTCCTTCCACCTTCCTATGCCATACTTTCATTTCAAAGCCCTTGGTGGTCTATGCCAATCGGAGCGTGTGCCTGCTGATGCTCTGCCAGCCTTTGCTTGGGTCAGTCAAGAAAGTGGGCGCCATGAATGGGATCTTCTGGATTGGCCCCTCCACCCAGCCTTCATTAGTGCCTGGCCCATTGTCCCTTGGATTGGGGCTCAATCTCTCCCAGGCCAATGGTAGGGTGGGATTTTCCCCTCCCCCCTCCAGGAGGGGATGACCCCATCTTCTGGCACCCCCAAAACACACCTGTAGTCCATACTCCTTTCTGAAAAGTGGGAGAATAAAGACCCCACGTTCATTTTTTGGCCAGGCTAAGACTGCTGGATTAATAAGGAGGGATAATGTAGATTAAACTCTCACATGAAAAGGAGGTGGGTCAGACCATTGGAGTTGCCCCCATGCTTTGATGCAAAGGAGATAGGGCTGTGTGTGTGTGTGTGTGTGTGTGTGTGTGTGTGTGTGTGTGTTTTCACAGGAACAACCTTCATTTGCAAAGGTCATTGTTCAGAGTCACTTAAGTGATGGACGTGGTAAAAATTGATAAAAAATAAATTCAGTCTTCTAATGAACAACTGGGGCAGGGAGGACAGACAAGAGAAAAGAAACCTTCCCACAACACCATTCACCTGCTTACTAAGTATCAAACTCACAAAGCTAAGCTGGTTGTGTGAATGAGGCCCAACCTTTTGGGTTCATAAATGACCCAGGGAAGGAGTTGTGTAAATGCAGCATCTGAATTTTCAAGTCCCTGTTATTATAGGGCATTCAGAACAATGAATGTGGGAATCTTTGTTGACTGGGATGATCCTTCAAGCTGCTTCAGCAACAGGAATCAAAATGGGTCCCACTTTATGCAGGAAGAAAAAATTACCTCTGCAGCCTGCACCAGGCAGGTGTGTGTGTGTGCACGCGCGCGCGCGCGCATGTGTGTGTCTCGATGGGAGGAAGTTTGTTAGTCTGCAAAGCTGCCCTCAGTTTTTCTCCAACAGAAATAGTTCTTGGATTTGCAATCCATGGTTTTCAGGTGGGCCTTTTCAGGACCTGGATGATGTTGAATGAATAAACCTCGATCCTTCTCTTGACTAATGCCCAAGTCAGTTTCAAGGTGGCAGCAAGTCATTTCTGCCTCTGCCAGCATATCCCTTCAACCCATCTATCCATCCTTCCTAAGCGGCGAACCTATATCAGTCTGCAAGCATTTCTTTGCTGTCCTCTCCTGGATGCCAAGAGTCTTACATCCTGAAGCTGCTTGCTCTCCCTTCCATAAGGAAGAAGAAGGCTGCCATTTTATAAGGAGATCAGGGTAGGAAAGATAGCGAAGGAAGTGGTGGATTAAGGCTCACTGGTGCCCTAAGCACTGACAAATCTTGCTGTCTCTCCTTTGTCCATACTGTACTTCATTGGTTTTTTCTTTCTTTCTCAACTTTCTGGTGTCCCCTTGGGCCTGGTGCCCTAAGCACGTGCATAGTCTGCTTAATGGTTAATTCAACACTGAGCGAAGGCATTTGCCAAAAACATCTGGGCTGTTGGATCTCTTGGGCCAGTCTCCTCCAGGCACGATTCTTTGGTTGCAGTCTGGTGGATTTGCACAGGACACACTTCTGACTAAGGGTGGATGAGCACAGCAATGTGGATTGAAGTGGGAAATTAAAACAATGAAGAATAAACTTAGTTCTCTTCCTTGCTATTTTTTCTTTCCTGTTTCTTTCCCTTCCTTCCATTCCATCTTCCCTTCCTCCACTCTCACTTTCTTTTCCTCCCCTCCCCAACACTCCTCCCTCCTTCTCTTCCATTTTTTCCTCCCTCTCTCCTTCCTTCTTTCATTCCTCCCTCCCTCCTTCCCTCCCTCCCTCCTTGTTTTGGGCAGAATATTCAGAAGAAATCTTTGAAATAGCACCCCTTCCTTTCCAGTTCTGTTGCAACTGGTCACCCTTCGAATTTAATGGCAACGTCGATTTTACAAAAGCGAAGTGCAGCCCCAACACCTGGTTAGACCCCTTCGCCTCACTGCGAGGCAAGTGGGATAAACCAGGATAGCACGAGATACGATCGGATGCGAAGCTTTCCAATTTCCTGGCCTTGAAGCAGCGGGGTCTGTAAAGGAAATCCGTGGCTGCTTTGGAGGATTTCGCGGATTTCACCGATTGGATTTTACCCCCGAAGAGACACAGCCGCGAAGCTGCGTGCGGAGGAAAAGAAAACCCGCGAAGCTCTGAGATCAAAGCGAGCAGCCAGGTCGAGTCCTTCAGACAGGAGAAGGCAGATGGGTGGTCTGGAGCCCTCTCGCTGAGCCGGATGGGAGCCTGTTTCCTCCTCTCTGCCCTCCGTGAAGGAGAAGGAAAAGAAAGCAGAAACGGTTTTGGAAACGCTCCGTTGATTCATTCCTCCGGTCAGAGACAGACAACTGCGAGGAAGTTAAGAAACCTTCGATTACCGTCCCCCATAACCCGCAGCTTCGGGCTGATAGAAATCGAGGGCTTCCCAAACTTACTTGAGAGGGGGCGGGGGGGGGTCAAAACGTGGCCACGCAAACTCTGTCGTGCGAAAAGGGGATGAAAGTGTGAAAAACTCAGGCAAGGTATTTTGCGCAGCCGTTGGGAAGCAGAATAAAATTGACACGCCACGCAGTGAAATTGACCAGGCGGATGGAAGGATGGGACTTTGGGGAAGAAAATGGATCGGGGAGATCTCTGGTTAGCTTGGAAATCAGAGGACGGTTTGCAACCATCCTACAGAAATAGCGCAGGAGAAACATAGCGGGATCCGAAAGGGAATATAAATAAACCGTATATCAAGGATCCTACAGGAGGTTACTGAGAAGTAACTAAAGCTAAGTAACTAAAGCTTCTATTCTAATAAGTAGCTGTCTAAACTTTGGGAAAATAAATGTGAGAAATTGCAGACCTGCATTGAACATAACGGTATCTGTCTTACGGGGTGTGGCAGCGATCTATTAGAAACAACTCTTGAAAAATTCTACTGCCTTCCAACCATGATTAAAACAAACAAACGAATAAACAGAAAACCCCAAACGGAACTGATCTTAAGAGAGACTCATTCCAAACCAGAATAAAAACTAAGCCAGGATGAGCCAACTCAGTTAAAATATTTGTAAAAAGAGCAAATGTCATGCTTGGGATTTGTTTATTAACAATTTAATTATCTTTTATTGGTGTGTGGTGTGTGTGTGTGTGTGTGTGTATGTGTGTCCCTTTTGTAGCTTTTTTTCCTGGGTAGGATTAAATTATTGTATCTATTGTTTCAAAAATAATTCATTAATTAGCTGGATATCCCAAAATGCTGATTTTTTTTTACAGAAATGGACATAAAAGTGCTAAGAATCTACCTGCCTACTATTTGCAACTGGAAGTTATAGATTTTTTTAAAAACTTAAGAATTAAGTTGTTGAGCTATCAAAGTAGATTAAAATTGTTGATCTTAAGCAGATTTCCATGAAAATAATCTCAGCATATATAGTAGGTACAGGAAGGACTTCGGGGTAGATACTCAGATTTGACTCTAGTTTATGTATTTTATTTGTGTATTTAGAATTCATCTTAATGTGCACACAATAAAACCAAGACAAATATTCCCTGGAATGTTATTTATTTACACCCAGATGAATGGAAGAGTTTCAGACTAAAACAAAGTTTTCATTGACCAGGATAGCAGCACAACAGGAAATAAATGAATGAATGAATGAATGAATGTATGAATGAATGAATAAATAAATAAATAAATAAATAAATAAAAAACAGGTTACAATTTTGTCTTGTTGAAAAAAAATAACATAACATAATTTCCACTGCTGGCATTAAAACGTGAATCTGATGGAAAATTTCCAGGTGGAGATCTGTCTATAAATGTACAATATTTATGGAGATCCTGGATGTGTATTTTTGAAGCATCTGATAAAGATGAAGCTGGTTCACACATGCATAACTGCAATATCTCTAGTGAGAAGACGCCCGAATCTAATGTCACAGACAGAACACTCAGATCATGTCACACATGCACAGCAGACATGGGGGAAACAGGGCACGTGCAGCTCGTGGCTTCCAACTTCACTATATTTTAATCAAGTATAGATAAAGTGTGCCATTGGAACTGGGAATAAAAACGAAGAAAAATGAAAGCCAACCAAACTGATGCATCAAGGGTGATACGTGCATGTGTGAACCAGTCTTAAGTCACACACGACACTGCTGCCTCCAAACCTTTGGCAGAACCGCAGAAAGCATGGGAGGTCTACTTCGTTTCTTGTAACAAGAAAGGACCAATACATCTATGCAATTATGCTATTTGGGGATAGACAGTTTTAATCTCAATAGAGTGGTTTAAGTCCTAACTTGAGAAGGAGAGGAGAGAAGGAGCAAGAGAGAGAGAGGGAGGGAGACATAGATTGAGATTTAGAGAAAGATTAATGTATAGCACATTGGGGATATGGAGACAATAGCTGAGACACTGTCCCTATTCGGACAGGACCTTCTAGCCAGGCCCTAAGTATAGTCATAGTCTGAGGAATCATCCTCAAAAGCCCCTTTAAAGTCTCTTTGATAAGGATCTACACTATTCTCTTCAAAATCCCCCACTGGGTGGAAGTTTCTACCCTTGGCTTTGCGTTCTTCCATCTTGATGGTATCGTATAGTCCTTTGGGTTCCTCGTCAAGAAGGATGTTCCTCTCCGAGTGGGAGGGCTTCATATGGCAAATGTTTTTGAGGGCCAGAAGGACCGGAGAATAGAGGACATTGGCAAGGCCCATGCCCAAGCTTAGTTGGGTGAAGCCAAACGAGTGGACAATCTCTCCAGCCACGATGGGCCCCAGGGCATAGGCCACCGAATAGGAGATGTCGGCAATGGCGTAGACACTGCCGTAGACAGACACATAGCGCACATCTACCAAGAAGGCAAGGGTGGGCAGAAGGGCGGTGTCCACCAGGGCAATGCCAAAGCAGATGCCACACAATGGGAGCATCAGTTGGGTAAAGTTCCGGCAAGCAGGCACCACGCAGGAGCTGGCCCCAATGATGACCATGCCCAGCGCCCCATAGAACCACTGCAGGTGGGGATACTTGTCCGCCAGCTTGATGGTGATGAAGACACCCAGGACGTGGGGGAAGAAGGCTGGCAGCCAAGCCAGACCCATCTCCCACTCGTTGGTGTTCATGGTGCGGTTCATCCAGCTGGCGATGGTGGGCTCCAGGAAGGCCAAGGGGATGTTGCAAGTGGTGAGGGCCCCGGCCACCACCGCGATGTAGGGGTCGATCATCAGCCGGTGGATGGGGGTGCCCACCGGCATGTTCTCCCGGGTCCTGTTGGCGAAGGGCTTGATGGCCACCAGCAGTAGCAGGGCGTCCAGGAGGCTGATGGAGGCCAGCACCAGGAAGGGCGCCTGCTTGCGGGCGAAGCGATACAAGATGCCGCCAAAGGGGGGCGCCACCAGGCTGCCGAAGGAGATAAAAGCCAGCGCCACGCCCAGGGCGCGGTTGCGCTCCGACTCCTCGGTGTATTTGTCGGCGATGAGGGCTATCCCCGAGGTGTCGGCGAAGGCCGAGCCCAGTCCCTGCATGCTGCGCGCCACGAAGAGGGTGGCGTAGTTTTCGGCGAAGGCGAAGATGAGTGTGGAGAGGAACATGACCAGCAGCCCGATCAGCAACGGCAGGACGTAGCCCACGCGGTCGATGAAAGTGCCGGTCAGCGGGTTGACCAGCAACTGCAGGATGGCCTTGGAGGCGAAGAGCACGCCGATCTTGATGTCCTGGTTGTCGGCCCGCAAGGGCGGCGGGAACAGCCCGGAGGTCCTGCTGGCGTTGCCGGCCCAGCCCCCGCCCGTCCCACTGCTGTTGACCTCCAGGCTCTGCCCGGCCGTCGGTACCTTCCCCGCGCCGCCGCCGCCATCCATGGTGGCCAGGTAGTCGGGGATGATGGGCACGATGACCATGTAGAGCATGTTGTCCAGCAGCAGCGCCACGCAAACGATGGCCAGCAGGAGGCGCCGCTGGCGGTGAGCCTCCTGGAGGGCGCTGCCCAGAGCCTTGGCTCGCAGCCCCACCGCTTCGGACAGCTTCTCCACTGCCCGACGGGCGCCCACCGAGTCGCCGGCCTCCTCCTGCATCCTTCCTCCTACGACTGCCGGGCCAGAGATGCTAGAGGGGCATGGAGCCCGGAGATCGAGGCTGGAGGGCGTGCGCGGGGGTCCTGCAGCCTTCCTCCTCCTCTTCCTCCTCCTCGCGCTCTCTCTGCTTTCGGGCTCTGCGTAGTCCTCCTCCACCTTCAGTGCCGCCCCTGGCACTCTCCGAGCGAGCTTCTTGGTCCCGCTTGCCCGGCCGCCCAGCCCCAGCCCCAGCCCCAGCTGCCAGCAGCTCTCTCCGCCTTTCTTAGGCTGCGGAGGAGGCGCTCGGTCTTGTCCTGCTAAACCTCCGCCAGCTGCGCCTCTTCCACTCCGCCGCGCTTTGGGCGCATCCCCATGGCGCTCCTGTAGGGCCGGGGGTCACTTTGCTGTCGCCCACCCTTCCTGCCCGCCTTCTGGGCTCTAGACGGAGCTCTGGGTCGCCGCGGTTCCCCCTCTCCGTCCGTCCCGGCTCGGCTGCGGCGTGCGTGGAGGGCTGCCTCTGACTTCGCTTTCCCCGGTAGAGCTCCTCTAGCCGGCGGGCGAGGGCAAGCGTGGGGGGCTGCCCATCAAACGCCCTGGCGTGGCGAGGTTGACATCCCCTCCTCTTGCCTTGTTGGGTGGGTTCAGAGGAGCGCGGCTGGCCGGAATCTTCCCGTCCGCAGCATCGCTGGGGCTGGCTCAGAGGGAGCGGCCCCCGAAAAGCTGCCTCTCGTTGGTCTCGGCGCCGGTGGAAAGTTGCGGGCTCTTCTTCTTTTCCCCTCCGCCCCCTCCGTCCCTACCCACGCGGGCTGGCTTCCCTCCTCCCCCCCCTCCGATGACGCAGAACGAAGCCCCCTCCCGAGCGCTCGCTGGCCCGGCTGCGTCTCACTCGGCTAATTTAACACATGGAGGACTCGGAGCCAATGGCTGCCTCCAAGCAGCCCCCGGGGGCCCGCGGGCGTGCTAGGCCGCACCTGCAGTCTGGAGCGGCTGGGCTGCGCCTGCTGGCGGGACACGTCTGGACAGAAAGTCCCTCGGCCCAGTTCCCTCCTTCCCAGGCCAGAGGGTGGCTGGATAGCAGCCTGACGGGCAAGAGGCTGGTGAAGGGCCCACTTTACAGGAGCTCTTCCTGTAAAGCCAAGAGGGAGGGGGAGCTGGTTGGCTTTTTTGCAGACCTTTTCATAACCCAAACTAGGTAACATCATCAGTCTAGCACTGATGATATTACCTCATTTGGATCATGAAATGTCTGCAAGGAAACCACCCAGCTCCAAGACTACTCAAGACCAGGGCTGAAACCCAGCAGGTCTGACAAGTTCTGGAGAACCAGTAGCAAAAATTCTGAGTAGTTCAGAGAACCGGCAAATGCCACACAGTGTGGGGTGAGAATGGAGATTTTGCAGTATCCTTCCCCTGCCATGCCCACCAAGCCACACCCACAGAACCAGTAGTAAAAAAAAAAATGAATTTCACCACTGCCCAAGACCCCTGAGCTATAAAGATTCTTCTTTAAACCACAATGTCTTCTTCAACTGCTGGCTGAGTCGGCATACACAGAATCATAGGGCTGGAAGGGACCTTGGAGGTCTTCCATCCAACCCCCTTCTCAAGGCAGTTGTCCAGAGTCAAATAGTTGTCCAGTTTCTTCTTGAAAACCTCCAGCGATGCAGCACCCACAACTCTGGGAGAAAGGTTGTTCTGTTGATTGAAGTCTGTAGAGATTCTCAGTCATGGTTGTCCCAAAAGTGCTTTTTCAGGAGGCAACTGGGCTTTCTGGTTTTTTCTTTTGCAGATGTTTTGCTTCTCATCCAAGAAGCTTCTTCAGCTCTGACAAGATAGTTCCATTGATTGATTATTCTAGCTGTCGGAAAATTCCTCCTTCTGTCCGGTTGGATTCTGCTGCTATGTGGATGTCTCTCCACTCCTGCTCCTCTTCCAAGCCCTGCCCATCCCTTGGGGCCTCTGCCAGGCAAGGAGAGACAAGGCCCAACTGCTCTTAGATACCTCCAGGATGCCAGGATTAGAGAGAAGACTCTACTTGAAACTCGGAATAACTAAAAGTCCCCAGAGGGGTTTCTGGGTTGGGGAAGAAGAAGGAAGGCAATTCTCGTAAGGTCCTGGCTGACCTGGGATAAGTAGCAATAACCTGGCTCAAAATTCAGTTTGAATTTGCTAACTAAAGGAGGTGAGGACCATAGTTTGAATAGCTTTCTAAGGGGAAACCCTTAGAGACCCTTGGAGAAATTCACCAGCAGTGTGGAATTGATAGCAGCATGCCTTAAATGCCAGCTGCTGCAGGAAGTGGTAGGTTTATGGCTTTCCTTGAAAGAGACTCAGCTAATCCAGTGGAGCTTTTCTGGTGCCCTCATTGAATGAATGGTCTATTTGTGTGCATGGAGGCCAGGATGGTCTTTACAAACAACCACACTTTTCCCAAAAAAATGATTTTATTATCTAATAATAAATATTAATATTGATTTTATTATCACAGACAATCATAATCTGTCCCCTTAAAGGAGCAGAGGTTTTCTCTTATAATAATACTGTAAGAAGCTAGCACATGAAAAATGCGTGCTCCATCACTGGAGGCTTTTAAGAAGATCCTGGACAACCCCCAGTCTGGAATGGCAGAGGGTCTCCTGCTTGAGTAGGAGGTTGGACTAAAAGACCTCCCCAAGGTCTCTTCCCACATTGTTATTCTATTATTCTGTCATTCTAAATGGATGATGACTAGAGAGAAGTTCCCTGAGGATCGACTTCAGCACGAGTCCAAAAGCTCAGGAGAGCAAACTTCTGGCCTCCGTGACCAACCCAGGTTGGACCCTGAAGCATTATTGCGTGGCATGTAGATTTGTCTTCATTCGGATCGTGACTGTTCCCTGTTCACATTACTTCAAGCGTGGCACGACAAAACCGCGCTCGACTAAAGCGCGCCCGATTAAACCGCGTCGCTGACGTCATCAGCAGGGCGACAACAGCAAGCGCGGAGAAAGAAGGGTTTAGGTTTAGGGTTAGGTTAAGGGTTAGGATTAGGTTTAGGGTTAGGTTAAGGGTTAGG